TGCGTGTGTGTGCGTGTGTGTGTGAAAGCAGATTATGACAGTTGAAAATAGCCGTTGGTTGTATAATAGTCTGGATTTCTGAGTCGAGTTGTAATCACGTGTGTTTCTCTTCAGCAGGGAGACTTTGTCCATTCAAGAATCTCTTCACATCTCTGCCCCCCCCCCTCACAGTTTCCACCATGAACGTGTTCGACCGCAGCATCAACATCGACGCCCTCTTCAAGTTATCCCAAATGTACGTGAGCGGGTTCCTGTCAGCTGACGCTCTGACGTTTCCACCGTCCGGCTCCCGCTCACTGTTATCTGTGTTTGTCCCTGCAGATCTCATTCCACCCAGGTGCACCTGAAGAATGTGTACTCCAGCCTGGCAGTCTGCATGTTTGTGGCGGCCGCGGGCTCCTACGTCCATGTCGTCACACGCCTCTTTCAGGTATCGCTGACGAGTCCACGTCGATGCAAATGAAGCACAGACGATCTAATCTGACCCGAGTTTGTGCTCCACGTTCAGTTTCCAAACTGTTTACTGCAGTTTAACTTCACAGTAACATTATACAGTACTGGGAACCGGTGCACCAGTTCAATAAATGGTCCCTTCTCCCCTAAAGTTAATGTCTCATTTCAGAAAAGTGTATTTGTTTTTGTTTTTAGGGTTTTAGCGGAGGTAGTTTTTATTTTAGGTACGATAAAGCTCCTTTATAAAACCCTGAACACAACTCATTCCCCTCCGCCCGTGTTTGATGTGATAACAGTGTGCGTGCCTGTAGAGGACAATGAAAGCGAGTTAAACACTCTGCTGTCTAATACCTGGAGCTTGAGATCATTGTTCCTATCAGCATTCACCATCGTTGTTCTGGGTTTTTACGGTTGTTGAAGATACTGAATGTGTTCTGGATGAAAGACTTCACATGTAGCACGGGGTCAACGTACAAGCCTGTGATCTGATTCAGAATCACCCAAAGATGAAACAGTTAAGATAAGACAGAACTTTATTTATCTGGAAGGAGGTTTTCTGTTTCGGCGTCTCCCGTTGATCCTGCTGTGCCCGAGCTGGCGTTGCCCTCTCTTGACCTCCTGCTCCTTGTCCTCAGGGCGGCGTGCTGTCTGTGCTCGGCTCCTTGGGGATGATGTTTTGGCTCGCCATGACGCCACACAACCCGGAGACGGAGAGGAAGAGACTGGCGATCCTCGCAGGATTTGCCTTCCTCACAGGTAAAGTGACGTGTTGTGAGCAGAGCGCTCTTTGTGTCGTAGAGGTGATGTAAGAGTCTGAACGCGCTGTTGGCCTTCCTCTCCCCCTCTCCAGGTGTCGGTCTGGGCCCCACACTGGACTTTGTCATCGCTGTCAATCCGAGGTATGTGAAAGGTTACTCGGTGTTAAACATTACAACCACGAGTCACTGATTTTAAAACTAAACAACAGACGAGGAGAGTGATTGGGAAGTTTCCTGAAAGTGTCTCATCTGTTCTGGTGTGTTTGTCCTCAGCATCATTGTGACGGCTTTCATGGGAACCTCCGCGATCTTCATCTGCTTCACTCTCAGCGCTCTCTATGCCAAACGCAGGAGCTACCTGTTCCTGGGAGGTAAAGGCACTTTGTGTATTTACTGACACTGTGAAGTCCTCAACAACAAATACACACGACTCAAAAGTGTCAGACGTTCATGTGTCGGTCCTGGCTGATTGGTGGCGACAGCAGATACGGTTACGTCACGTCTTTGAGCAGCTGTGGTCTAATTTAATGCTGCATGAGTCTGCAAACAGTAATAGAGGAAGAAGTTAGTTACCTCACACCGCCTGAAGCTCGACTTCTAACAGCTCACTGCGGTTTCTGGTTCCGTTACTCGCTGCACGAGGTCAAACTGATCCGCTCTACATTTACAGAAACTGGCCGTCGTCTTGTTTTAGTAGATGTTGTCGAATGAGTAGCGGTCAGTTTCCTGTGAGTCCTTCATAATAAAAGTCAACCCGTGTTTTCCTGTTAAAGGTCCAGTGTGTAGGATTCAGTTGCAGATCGCGAGCACGACGGAGGAACTACGGTGGCTGCAAGATGTCAGTTTGTTGTTTGTCCTTTGTGGGCTACTGTAGAAACACGGCGGTCAAACATTGCAAACTCCATTTTAGACGACCCATAGTGTCTGTAGATAAAGCTCATTGTAAGGTAACAAAAACATCATTTCTCAGTATATTCAGGTGAGTGTACACTGATGGAAAATACTCTGCCTGTTCTCCGCCCACAGAGCCTCCTAACTGTTACACTGGACCTTTTAAATGCAGACTACAGACTTTAAATTCCGCCCAGTTTTTGGCCATTATGCAGAATGTCTCCTGTTTTAATGGACTCGTCATTCTCCTCAGGCACACTGATGTCTGGCCTGTCCCTCCTGTTCCTGATGTCTGTGATGAACATGTTCTTTGGCTCCGTGATGCTCTTTAAGGTAGGCGAGCCGCTCCTCTCTGAACCTTCGATGTGCCGGTGAACCGTTTCAGCCTCATCACGTTTTGTGCGTCTCCTCCGACAGGCACACATGTACCTCGGGCTGCTCATCATGTGCGGCTTCGTCCTGTTTGACACTCAGCTCATCATCGAGAAAGCGGAGAACGGAGACAAGGACTACGTCTGGTGAGCACTCCTTATCCTCGTCTGTCGACACTCTCATAACCAAACACTACGCACATCAAACACACAGTCACATCACGCCTTCAAAATAAGAGCAGACACGTTTGACTTTTACATAAAGCTCAGCCTTTAGGGGAACGAGATAGAGAGATAGATAGAGATAGATAGATAGATAGATAGATAGATAGATAGATAAACAATAGCAGACAGCACTAATGGGTTAAAAACAAACAATAAATAAATGGAGATTTTGAGATATTTAATAATGAGCATATGTGACGATTCTGAAACCAACTTGACGTTTGTTTGTTTGTTTGTTTTGAAGGCACTGTGTGGACTTGTTCCTGGATTTCATCACCATCTTCAGGAAACTGATGATCATCCTCGCCATGAACGATAAGGTACTGAGTGTTCTGAAGGTTTCTGTGTTTCTTTTTCTTGTCAACAAATCCAATGCAGAGAAACCAACGATGGAACAATGATCCTGCTAACCAGTATTGAGTGTTTATTGGAAGCCACAGAGCTTCATCGAGGTTCAGAAATGATTCAAACCACACAGACAGACACCGGAGATCAACCCAACCTTCATCTTTAAGAGACCTCCTTTCTGTCATTAAGTGACACCTTCTATAGATATTTCATATTCTATTGAATTCACAACAGTTAAACTGTACAATGAACCCAAACAGTGAACACATGACTGCAGCAGGTTTATTTACAACTTTTAACAATCATAAATGTTTAATTGGCTTCTTTTTTGACAAATAGTTTGGTTCTCTTTGTTCTTTTAGCTCTCTGGTTGTTTCAACTGCGCACTGCACTAAAGCAGGACGAGGCTGTTCATCAGACAGTGAAGGCTCTGAATATATTTTATGTTCATGTCTTTGAGGTTTAGACCTTAAACAATAATTTAAACTTTGTATAAATAGGAAATGAATGTCTGTTTTGCTGTTTTTATGGGATTTGTTGACAGTGAAACTCAAGATATTGCCGTCCTCAACCTTTTTCCCCACAAGAACTTCAGCTGCTTTTTCAGATCACATTTCAAATCACAAATAAAAGCCAACATATTTTCTGATTTAGCTCCAGTAGAATCTATCCGTGCAGATACTTTTGGTTTCATTTGTTGAGGTTTTTAGATATCTGAGACTTCTGCTGCCACCGCAGTACAATGGTGGCGAGGGGAATTCAGTCTGTGGTCGCCAGAACAATGAGAAAGCAAAGGACATTTAAATAACAACAGGAACATATCTCTCCAGAAACCTCTTGTTCTGGTGACTGTGTATAACAGTCCGATTTATCTTAAACCTTATGTTGAGAACCACTGAACTGTATATAAATCAGATAAACTGTTAAACGCTGCTTTTAATCGAATAGTGTAATATTTAATAATGTATCAGAGAAAATACCTTTCGATGCTTTAAATCAACACAGTCATAAATACAGACAGCTGTACATGTGCCATTATTATTATTATTATTATTATTATTATTATTATTATTATTATCACTTATGATCAAAAACTAATATTATTATTAGTCCATGATGGCCACGTCGCTGTCTGTCTGTCCACAGCCGTCCTCTTGGATCTCTGTGCCTCTCCCTTTATTTAAATGTATTATTATTTATTTAAATCATTGTCAAAAGCGTTCTGAACTTGTCCCGACCTGAAACCAAACGTTACATAGTGTAAGAGGAACCAGTCGTCCTGTTACAACTCGCATCGAAATGACTTTGAAGCTGTCGTAAAATACTTGTTTGTACTTTTCCTGAAGAATGTGAGATCAGCACATGTAGTTTTAATCCATCAGCACGCTGAGTGATGTGTGTGTGTGTGTGTGTGTGTGTAATTCTGATTGTTTGTCTCTGTTTCAGGACAAGAAGAAGGAGAAGAAGTAGAGAGAGTTCGAGTGGCTGAGAATTAAAACCAATCTGTCAGAAAAGGCACAATTTGCAACGCACTTGGTGCTTCTCACTTTCTGTCTTCATTTATTGAATTAACTCCTATGTGGTCTTATATTATTGAGAAATTCTTTTGATTTAATTTTCTTTTTTTTGTTTTAAACTTACAAGGGTTGAATGTAAGTTGTGGTAAACTAATGCTAGTTCCCATCATGGCTGTGAATGGAGAATAGACTAATGCTGCAGTGAACATGCTTGGCCTGTAGAGGGGAGCGTTGCCCTATGAAGAAGCTGAGCAGAAGAGTTTCATATTACTGTTATTTAGTGCCATAAATTAATGACATGATAGGCTCCTTTTTCTTTTCTTTTTTAGTGGGTCACGTGAGCTTCTGAGACTGATTGTTTTATTTGAAGTTATGTAATTTCAGTCGTTTGATTTGCTTATTTATAGTTTTCCTCGGTTCTTTTTTAGTGAAGTGTCACAATAAATGGGGTCCCATGAGTTTGACAACAGATCCTCCTCCTCCCCGTAATTGTTTTGTTCCCACAAATTTTGTTTTGTGACCAACATTTCGAGTAGGAATGGTGAAGCCTGGTATCCCTGACACCCACCGTGAAGGCCTGTCGGGCTCATGATGATCAACACTAGCTCATTTAGGCGGATGCAGCCACCCGGTGGTCGGGATTTTGGACTTTTGGCTGGTGAGGGAGGAAGAGTCGATGCCATCTGTCCACAAATTTTCAACTCGGATATCAAAGCGAGGCGAATTATTCAGACCTCTCCCAGTGTAAATTTCTCTAAATATCTGTTGTCTAGAAATTAGTTTGCCAAATGATGTTAACCTTTGCGATTTTTTGAAAGTGTATACTGTGAAGAATTTATTTTATTGATGTAAAATTGAAACTAATAATTTGATACATTTGCTCAAATAAATGTGTTGAACGTATTGAAACAAAGTGATCTGCATATTTATTGCTTTAATTAAGTTAAAGTAGTAATACCTGTAAATAAAATACTCAATCACAGGTAATAGTTCTGCATTTAAAATGTTAAGACATTAGAAAAGTTATCTGGTAATCATATTTTGATAATCATTTTAGTAATTTTTCAAACAATTGTTAAATATTTGCTGGTTCCAGCTTCTCAAACATGCTTTTCTTCGTCATATTAATGTAAATAAATCTTTTGGTTTTGGACAAAATTGGCAATTTAATGTCACTATTTGAAAACATAATCAGAATATAACTGATACTGAAAATAATCGTTATCTGAAGCCCTAAAAATGTCACTTAAATAAAGTACTATAAGTGTTTTTTTAGCAAAATGTAAAAGTCATACTGCAGAAAATGGCTCGTGTTCTGTTATTATATAATTGGATCATTATTACTGATGCATTAAAGTGTAAGTTAATTAATTTGACCTTTATTAAAATCATTGTTGGGTTGTTTAATCTAACAAAGGATCATATTTTACTAATTATATATTAAGTTCGTAATATCTTTATCAGTGAAGTAGCTGCTAAGTATTTAAAGAGAAATGTCACTGATCCTTTACATCGTTCTGGGAGTGTAATAAACAGCATTCAGGTTCACAGTAACGACTTCACACGACAAACTAAATCAAAACATTTTAATTAGAAAGTTGAAAAACGGCAGTAGGTACATAGGACCTCTATTGGCTAGGGAACGAACAGCAACAGAGATGAAATACAAGATATGAACATAATCTAGTAAGCGAGGAGGACTGCAATTTTCACAGAAAGATAAAAAAAAAGAAAAAAAAGATGATGTACATTTAAAATAAATAAATAATAGAAATACATATTCATTGAATAGTGTAGCCATTTCTCTTATCTATGTTATTATTGCTGGTATATATTACCTTTAAATGTATTATGATTTAAAACAGACATATTCTGACAACCTTCCTCGGTCGCAAAACAATATCAACATGAATCAATAAAATCGTTTGTACATTTAAAATCGTGATGAGTTTTTAGCAATAAAGAATCACAGACATGAACATTCATTTTTTTAAGGAGCTCCATGTTTTTGTTTTTTTTTCTCAATACATTGTGTGGTGAAACGATGAGAACGGATGTATTGATACAGTACAGTACTGATCAGCTCCAGCCTCGCTGCTCCGTCTACCAGGATGAGAAAAACAAAAGACCGGGAGTGACAACTGTTTGTGCTAATCATTAGCTGAGCCATGCGTTTTTGTAGTCCTGTATACATGAATTAAAGAGAAGTGTCCACAGTCGAGTCTGACGGTGAGAAAGTGAACAACCTATATTATTCTGGTGGCTTTTGGCTTCATGTTTATTGGGAATCCTGAGGAGAAGTCTATCGATCCATCTTTCCAGTTGCAACGGAGAATCACCGCCACAATATTCTTTGCAGACATCATT